ATTTGACAAATTCTCATTGATATTATGTTGGTTTAACTTTGACCATTTAGAACTAAAACAAATGTGTGGTACTTAGATTTGTTCGTGGATGTTAATTGACTTGAAAGTTCTTGGAGAAGGGAAATCCAAGTTAAATAATAGGCTAATTATTCTTATGGCTTCAAACCTTCGAGAAAAGAGCGTATTCCTTTTTAAAAGGCCGGCAACGCACCTGTGACTCCTCTGGTGTTGCGGGTGTCTATGGGCGGCGCTGATCGCTTACCATTCCATAAATAAAAAATATTTATTATTTGTCTTGAAGTAATTTTACGGATAGAAAATATTTGTTTGTACTTTGTCACATTCATACGCAAGTTCCTTTTACTTTTAATATACGCCATTAAATTACATCATAACAGATTTGATTTAAGATTTCAAAGGAGCTCAACTCTAAGTACCGTGTTCTTTAATACTTTCATATAAAATCTTGAAAAATAAACTTTATTAACATACATAAACATAACATAACATCACGCCTTTTTATCCCCGAGGTAGGCAGAGGTGCACATTACGGCACTTAATGCCACTGAACAATGTAACACCCACTTTTCACTATTTATGTATGTTATGAGTCCCATGTAATAGCGGGTGAGCCTATTGCCATATACCGGGCACAATTATAGACTCCGTGCTACTACTGAGAATTTAAAAAAACCCAGTAGTACTTTGCACGACCCGGAAATCGAACCCGAAACCCCTTTGCTCGGGAGTCGCACTTGCGACCACTCGGCCAACGAGTCAGTCTAGGCAGGAACTTTATTACTAAGGAATTAAAATTATAAACCATCGTGTCCCGAAGAATTATACAGAGTTGCATATACATAATGTATCAGCCACTTTTCACCATTAACATGGAGAAATCGACCATGAAACCACATGAATAAACCATCCAGCCAGACCATCCATCTCTAAATCATTAAAAATAATTGCCATAACGAAAGAATGGAAACAGAATCGGCAACCATTTTGTTCAATACAGTTCTATACAATTAGTATTAACTGGTCCAATGAAAGCGACCGTCACGACCAATTAATTACGTTTCTCCATTATAACAGTACTCTCACACAATTCATACAATAATACGGTAACGGGCTGAATTAAAACAAAACATGGAATTGTATTGAAATCACGTGACGCTCCAGGCTTGCTGTTATATGACATAGAGTATGTTTATTAACGCAGAAGGTCCAGTCACTAATCATTACATAGTATAAAACAAAGTCGCTATCCGCCGACTGTCTGTCCCTATGTATGCTTAGATCTTTAAAACAATAGATAGAGTGATTCTTAAGGAAGATTTATATGTATAATACATGCATATTGCACCCGTGCGTAGCCGGGGCGAGTTGATAGTACTGGATAAAGAAATGGATTGGATCCTTACTTACCTAACATCATATCTTTTATTTTAAAGGTTTGAAAAGGTAAGCAATGGCATTTTCTATGCAATTTTTAACCGACTTTATAAAGAAAATAGGTTCTCAATTTGACCTGTATCAATGTGTGTATGTATGCATGTTTGTACGTGATTATCTCGCGATAGGCTGAACTTATTTTGATGCGGCTTTCAGAAAAGTGTTTTTTTAAACTTAGGAGTAGGTTTTAGTATATTAATTAACCCACTTCAATAAAAGAAAGGGTTGGTGTTTTTTTAAACGTAGTTTATTAAATAATTATTTATTCGTTATCTATGTTATTATAGACTGTTTAAAGATGCTTAGAAGCTTTTTCAAAACTGAAAAGAAACTTTAAGTGTGGGAGAGCCATGCTTCGGCACGAATGGGCCGGCTCGACCGGAGTGATACCACGGCCTCACAGAAAACCGACGTGAAGGAACACTTGCGTTGTGTAAGTGAAGTTACCGGAGGCCCAATTACCCTCCCCTTCCCCAATTTCCCCAATCCGTGAATCCCCAAAAAGCCGGTAACGCACTTGTAACGCCTCTGATATTCCAGGTGTCCATGGGTGACGCCGATTGCTTGCCATCAGGTGATCCGTCCGCTCGTTTACCGGCTTATGCCATAAAAAAAAACACCGAAAAATAATTTTCAGTTCATACCGAAGTTTTTAAATTTGTAATGATTGTCAATGTTTAGGACATGTTTTAAACAGGTCAGCATGGAATACTTAGCCTTTTATCTGTTGAAACACCGGCTCCCGGTATAAAACACATTATACCCCGCAACTTTGAACATACAAGAGGTTAAGACTTTGATAATTTGTTCCACTAACAAATCAGTTTTGTGCGACTTGTTCCTTCTGTTCCTGTTTCTACTGTGACCAAGTCTTATCCTCCGACCTCGTCTAGTTGTTTTTGAAGAATTATATTAAAGCAAATTTTGACTGTATTGCTCGATGTGTTTGTCCTAGATTTCACTGACATTGCTTGAAATGTGACTTGAATTGTTCACAAATTACTTAAAAATATTATTTATGTCCATAATATTGTGCCTCATTTGTAAAGGCAATGTAGACTAGAGACACGTCTTGTAGGTATGTATGGTACAATAATACACATGTAAAAATAAAAGCTTTTTTTAAGGGGGCAAAAATATCGAATGGCTGCTCCCGCCTAAGTGAAGCGGGAGGGAGTGTCAGACTCTTACTGACTAAAAACCACCCCGTTCCTTCTCCTGCACGTCGAGCCGGAGCCCCGGTAACCCGTTAGGTTCTCCGCGACATGAAAAAACTTATGTTGTACTCTGCAAAAGCCAGATCAATACTGCAGACTTTTATTTTTGATTTTTTATAAACCTAACTAACTTCTGCCGCGACTTCGTAGACGCAATCCCATTTTTTCCCTTCTCCGTTCGTGATCTTCGATAAAATGTAAAAAAAAGAAAGTATTGAATAAAAAGTATCCTATGTCCGTCTCCTGGCTCTAACGTACCCCACCATAAATTTTTATCTAAATCGATTTAGCCGCTCTTGTGTTATAAATAGCGTAACCAACACGACTGTGTTTTAAAATACCGATTATGTTACCAAAATGATAACATAATAAGTTACAGCTCCCATCTAAACTTCTTATAACAAGATTCAAATAAATATAAACTTAACTAAAATCGCGGGTTACTCACGTGAATATACCTACTGAGAAAAGCTCTACTAGTACGCTGCTCATGAGGAAGAACCCCTCTGTGGTTCGAAACTAGTAGAGCTTTTCTCGGTATACTCACATGAGTAACCCGCGATTTTAGTTAATATAGTATGTCTCACGATAGTTATTATAAAAATAAATACAAACTTGTTATAGCGTGCTCCCAGACAGATCACAAAAACATAAGTAGGTGTTACATAAAATATCAGCAAAGGTAATGTATATTACGTTATCCCTCATATGTTATAGAAAATATGAAGTAACACAGCTAAGCCCTAACGGATGGCGTCAGTTGTTTGTCTTGCCTAAAGGGCACCCTTTCCCTTCTTTTAGGGTTCCATACACAAAAGGCGTCAAGGAGATTACTGAGTCCCTTTTTACGCGTTTGTAGTAAAAATCAAGTTTAGTAAAAATATTCATA